TTAGGAAGCCAATGTTAAATTCTGTTTTTACCGAAAGGAAATCTCATACATGTTGTTTTCTTCTACCTTTTAAACTGATTCCAACACTTGAAATTCCTAGACAGAAAGGTCTGCTCTTTTTTGTTGTTGGTGGTGGTGGTTGTGGGACTTGAACTCTGAGCCTGGGTGCTGTCCCTCAGCTCTTCAGCTCAAGGCTAGTGCTCTACCACTTGAGCCACAGCACCACTTCTGATTTTCTGAGTAGTTTATTGGAGATAAGAGTCTCGTGGACTTTCTTGCCTGGGCTGGCTTTGAACCATGATCCCCAGATCTCAGCCTCCTGAGTAGCTAGGAGCCACCAGTGCCTGGCAGGTCTACTCATTTTTATCCTGACACATTTCCATAGGTAGATTATCTTTAAAGGGGTGATACGGTACTGATTTCAAGATCTGGTCATTAGGAGAAAGGGGAACTTTCCATAATGACAGTGTCTTGGAGGTCAGGGTGTAACAGGGAAGAAGCTTTTCTTTTCTTTTCCTTCCTTTCCATTCCTTTTCTTTTTATTGTGAAGGTGATGTACAGAGGGGTTACAGTTACATAAGTAAGGTAACAAGTACATTTCTTGTCAAAGCTTTTTACGCCTTCCCTCATTTTTCTCTTACTTTCCCTTCCCCTCCATCCCCCTGCCAAGTTGCACAAATCATTTCCAACATATTGTCTTGTGAATATCGCTGTTGCTTTGGTTCCTCCTTATCCTTTGTCTCATCATTCTGTTGTTCCTCTTCCCTACCCTAATTTAGAGAAACATATATATAATACCAGGGTACCAAAATCAAATACAGTGACAACAGGGAATATACCATAAGGGGAAGAACATACAAAAGAAACAAGAAATACATAGTACATTAAAAACAACAATAACAAAGAAAAACCTCTTGTGTCCATGTCTTAGAGTTCATTTCACTTAGCATCATCTTAGTGTACATGTGAAAAGACTGCTATTAGCTTTTGTTCTTGGCTCATACTTCTATCCATTCCTTTCTACTGACCCTGGAAAGAAGCATTGCTTTTCCTGTTCTCAGGAGAAGAAAATCCCAATGGAATCTCTCTCCAAGCATACTTGGTACCCTCTTATACCTAGGTGAAAGTGTCTAATAAGGGTTGAACATTTTGCTTCTGCTATAAAATGTCCAGGAAATAAAAACTAATATCCAAGACCTCAGGCAAAAAATTCTGAAGTATCCTCAAAGGGCATTAGAAAATAGTCTGGTAAAGATACAGCCAACGTCCTTGCTTGCCATGTACTTACTTGATAGAGATGTTAATTCTGCTCAAATTAGTCTTCAAGTGAAATGGAAACTCAATAAAATTTCTGTTGCAATTTTTCATGAAACTTGACATATTTACTATGAAACATTAAATACACATGAAAGGCCCTGCTTAGACCGCAGGGCTTTTCCAAAGTAAGCTTTCTTATTTACTGTGGATAAAAAGATACTTCTCATTAATAAAATAGTATAAAAGAACAAAAAGGGAGAATAAGCTGGTAGGACAAAGCAGCTCAAAGAGTGTTATTTTTATTTATGAGAAGCTTACTTATGATAAAAGGACACAGCGCTTCATAGACTGTACTAGGAAAATGGTTCACAATTTGAAGGAAAAGAAAATGACACCCTGTCTTCCATCATCTAAAAATACACAAAAGCCCCAATTCCAGAAAGAAAAATGATGTAATAATTGGGAGACAAGATAAAAAGAATATCTTTGCAATCTAAGGATAGAGGAGAAAGGCTTTAAAAGAAAGCCTTGAAAGGTTCAAACCATGTAATGAAAGTTATGTTCACATTAAGTTTTGTGTTCAATGAAAGCTGGATAGATAAAGTTGATAGGGCATTAGTTGTGAGAAGAGTTTATTATGCTTATCACCAGAAAGAGAGTAATATCACAAGTAGACAGACAAACCAACAAAAACAATAGACCAAACCCATTAGAAGAATTGGAAGCTAGTATAAACAATTTATGAAAAGGGGATTTCTAGGTGTCTATACATATATGAAGAAGAAAGTAAGTTAAAACAAAAGTGAGATAACGATTTAGCCTCCAAAGTCTGGCAAAGCTAGGGCAGAATAGCACCAAGTGGAGATGGGAAACAGAATGTGATTCACTTATTGAGATTAATGCTGCCTTTTGAACAACCACCTGGCAGTATTTAGTAAAAGCTAATAAATGTAGCCTGAGAATCCAGTGGAACTATCCTTGGTAAATGTCAAGAATATTCACAAAAATGCCCTGAGAGTAACTTGGGTGAGGTTGTTCAGTGCTCTGGTATCTGATTAATAAGCGATGGAAGGTAGTTTAAGTGCCTGTCACTGGGGAAATGGAGAAATAGAATATGGTGGGTCGGCACTCTGGAATGTCAGGTAAAAAGCAATCACTAAGCACAGCAACCTGGATAAATGGTAAGACCATAACACTGAGCGAAAAAGTAAAGAGAACCATTCCTGAAAAATGAATATGCCTACACCCACCCAATACTACTGCATGTGTTACACAAATACGTACCTATTTAGACTGCATATCAAATAGATGCATATTATAATCATGGCCTATGGTGGGTTGGGGATGGTGGTGCGTGTTGTATGGGGAGGGGAAGGAACTGATGAGGATAGAAATACAAACAGGCATCACATATCCCACAAATGTGCTATGATCAAGTGTGCTGGGCTGACAAGTATCATTAATACAAACCTTTTTTTTTTATATAAACCTTTTAATCTGAGATAACAAAAATCTTCCTTGTCCTACAGAGATGTATACTTTCTGTAGTTCCAGTTGTGGATTTTCAAGCATTGTCTAATGAGTTGGGAAGTAGTATTCATCTAGCCAACAAGTTGTCTAAATGCTAGGGATGCAATAGTAAACAAGACAGAAAAATCCAACCTTCTGGTTAGTTGTTCTAGTTATTTCTTCCAAGCATTAGAATGGATAAATTGATCCACCATGAGCCCAATCTATTTGGGGCCTGGAATTGTGGTACCTGGGTTGCACTTTACCTAGTGGCTATGAAAGACCATTTACAAGCAAACAACTGAAGAGCAAGCCCATCCCATCCTACACTTAAGTTATGAAGTTCAAATTTTACATAATGTACATTGGATGTGACGACTGCATTTGTTCACTCTTATCCCCTCATTTTGTGTGAGCCTGTCCCTCAAACATGTTTCAGCTTCCTAATATTTGTTTTGTTAAATGGTTCATTAGTTGTTTGAATAAGTTTTAAGTACACAATATATCGTTAACTATAATCCTATGAGTTACAGTAGATCTCTTAAACAATAATCTTCCATCTAGTTGAAGTTTTGTATCCTTTGATTAATATCTTCTTACCTCTTGCCTCTACTCTGGCAATAACAATTTTACTCTGCTTCTATGAGTTTTTTTTAAGATTCCACTTGTAAGTGAAATACTGTGATTTTATTCATTCTCACCTTCTCTTCTGAGTCTTTTTCTTTAGGCCATCTTTCCAAATGTTTGATAACCTCAGACTGTTCAAACTCTTCTCTTTTATGCCTTTTTCAGGTTTGTGCCATCTCTAAGTGATGAAGATTCTACAATTATCCAAGACCCACTCTCTGACTCTTTAAGGGTCTTGATTTTAATTCATTGTGAGCAGAAAAATGTGCTTGAACTAAGGAGGAGTTGCAATTACATGGGCAAGGTAATGAGTACATTTCTTAACAAGCATTGTTGCCTTCTCCTTTGTTTCCTCTCCCCCCTCCCACCCCCCCCCCCCCGCCAAAGTTGTATAGTTCGTTTTTCAACATAACATCTTGTACATGAACTAATTCTTAACAATTCACATTCCTTCCCCCAGTAATACACATTTGTGTTTTGATATTTGAAGTTGATCTGAGTGCCTACTCTTTGAGAAGATTTCCATGCTACTTTTTGGTGTTTATTTAGTATTCAATATACATTTAATAATGTAATGTCAACATGCAAGCATATTATTCCAATTTATCTATATAATAAAAGTTATTATAATATTATTTAGAGATAGTATTTTGGGTCTCGTGTGTTATTTAGAACTAGTATAGATAAAAATGTTAAGATGACAGTTTACGTGGTATTCTTTTATTGAAGATAGGTGGTAAGATGAATGGTAGGTAGATAGTTCAGCATTGGTATTTCCAAACAGAAATGATATTATTTTGATTCCATCAATAAAATGCTCATACATACATATACCATAATTATTTGATCAGTTAAAAATTGTCTCCAAATGAGAAGAAAATGGAGATTTTTTTAAGCCACAAGTATAGTTTAAGATTTAGCATATTACAAATGAGATAAAATTACTTTAAGCATTGGAATTATCTTTTCAAGTTTTCAAAATTTGTAACTTTAAAGCTGAGGATTTAGGGCATGGGTCCCTTATTTCTGGTCACTTCTACGAGATAAGAATCTCTGAAACTGGTAGGAAAATGAGTCCGTGACCAAAATGCTTACTCAGTTACTATAGGAGATCAAAGAATATTATACTCAATTGGAGCCTACTAAGACAAAGAAGTATTTTTTTTTTCTTTGAAAAATATGTAGGGTTGAGAAAATTTCTGGGATTATCTGTAAAAGCACTCTGAGCCATAATAGTGACGTATTAGGGAAATTCATTGCAAGGTGGGAAGGATAGAAGGTGGTGTTTTGTGGGCTCCTATGGTGGTTAGGTAATTCTCAGAAGAAAGTACTGGAAATTAGATAATTGCTGATGTCATATTTTTCACAAGGCAAAAAAAAATTGGTGTCCTGGGGGCTATAAAAGCGGTGGCTTCTACCTGTCTGATCAGAAGCAGAATCAACGAAACAGGTAAGTGTTTCAGCAGACTGGTTCAGTTCATTAAGCCTGTTTGGTATGACGCTTGTTGACTAATTTGTTTCCCTTATTTGTTTTTCTTTTCTCCTCTTCTCTTGATACTAGGTCCTCCTTTTCCAACCACCCATTGTTCAGCTCAGAGTTGCCGGCAATGGCTGCCCTGCAGAAATCTGTGAGCTCTTCCTTCATGGGAACGCTGGCTGCGGGCTGCCTACTCCTCCTCGCCCTGTGGGCGCAGGAGGGTGCCTCCGTGCCAGTCACTTCCAACTGCTGGCTTGACAGGTCCCAATTTCAGCAGCCCTACATCATCAACCGTACCTTCATGCTGGCCGAAGAGGTAGGTGTTCTAGTCTCGCTCTTTGCTACTGTATTGATGGAGGACCAAACTGCTCTTACCATTGCCTTGGGAGCACTTGTAAGATCTTTGGAAACGCAACATGTATTCCCACAGAGGATGTCCTGCATTTCCTTCATCTCTATGAGGACCTTTTTTTTTTTTTTTTTTAATCACAACTCCTTCCTTCCATGTTGGGTTTTAGGATCCACACATTTAGTTTTATCTAAAGAGGAGCTACTCAGCAGCTCATTTTTTTTGTTATTATTAATGCTTTCTTTACCCCTCTGTGCACTATTCTAAAGTCAAGCACACCTCTGGCTTTTGCCGTAAGTCTTTATGGGGTTTCCCTGGGAGAAAGGGAAGGCACCGATCTCCACGTACAGACTTTTCTTCTGTCTCCTCAGTGATCCAGGCACTTAGTCTTTTCTTCTTTTCCAGGCTAGCTTTGCAGATAACAACACAGATGTTCGTCTCATTGGGGACAAACTGTGGCAAGGAATCCATGTAAGCGATGAGAGGGGCACGGAGCACAGCTGGTATGGTGGATGGGCCTTCTAGATGTTCCTTAATATGACCCCCTCCTGCTGCCCTTCTACCTGCAGGGGAAAAGGAAATGCTACCTGATGAAACAGGTGCTCAACTTCACCCTGGAGGAAGTACTGTTTCCCTACTCTGACAGATTCCAGCCCTACATGCAAGACGTGGTACACTTTCTTGCTAGGCTCAGCAGCCAGCTCAACCAATGTGTAAGTCTTTCTCTCAGTTGCATCCATCCACTCCCAGTTCTCTTCCTTCCCTCCTTCTTCTGTTTAGAGACCTTCCCCCTATCCCTCACTCTTCCCAGGCCTATTATATGGTCAGTGAGAAAGGCCTTAGGAAATGGTCCCCAGGACTCATTTGGAATTAATGGCAGATGGGCTGCCCTTGCTTTGAGTCTCTGAGTTTACAGTGGTGAGTGGATTTGGAAAACAGTGGCAGAGAAACCTCATTTGTTTTTCAGTGTCTATTTAAAAAAAGATGTTGGCAGTTGTACAGAAAACATGGTCATGTGGAAATGGATCCACTGAGCATAAGTTGCTGGTGGGAGGGAGAGGCACAGAAAGCAAGAGGAAAATGGTAAGGCTCCATGGTGAGGGGTAGGTTAAAATAATCCCCTTTTGACACCATAGGAAGTGAAAAAAATCAAAAGTGTGAGAACCTTATGTCTCAGAATACTTAAAATGATGAAACATATTGGAGAGGAGTAAGAACAATCAAGGGGTCTGGCTATTTATTTTATTTTAATTTTTTGTGCTACTCTGGGTTGAACTCTTATCAGTTGAGCCATAGATCCATTTCCAGCATTTTGGTGCTTAACTGGAGATAAGAGACTCATGAACTTTCCTACCTGAGCTTGCTTTGAACAGCAACTCTCAGGTCTCAGCCTCCTGAGTAGCTAGGATTACAGGCATGAGTCGCCAGCACCTGGTTTACTTTATTTATTTTCACATAAGAGGTTTTATGCATTGCTCTTGTTCTGAACTTGTGATTTTAATGAGGTACAGCTAAGGTTTTACTCCTGCTAGAATTGGGCCAAACTGCTCCATTCTTGCTGCAACTTGCAGGATTTCCCAAAAGCAAGGAAAGGTTCTCTCTAAGGAAAGCACTTGGATTTTGGTGTCCAAGAGAATGCAAGAGCTCAGAAAATCTAGGTCATTGTGAAATCTAGGTCACTGTGGGTAAAAGTACCGAGTGTTTCCTCTCCAGGTAAATTGTTATATGCCTCTTAAAACTTCAGCGCAACAAGATTAAAACAGCCCCCCTCTCTTTCTTTTTGTAGCACATCAAGGATGATGACCAGCACATTCAAAAGAATGTTCAAAAGTTGAAGGACACAGTGAAAATGGTATTACTGATAAATATTAATACTATATCATACAATTGCAGAGATAAGTTTTGCTTCCCCAGTGACACTTCTTAGTATTTAATTTTCTGTCCGATCGATTACTTAAGTGCTTGTGTATAGTTGTGTCTACATATATCTGTAAATCAACTTCCAAATCTTAAAATTCTTGAACTTGAAGGAAAGTTGAGTGATTTAGTCTTATTATTCTATGCTCTGGGTTTGGCTGATGGCAGAGCCAAAGCTAAAGTACAACCTGATTCTCAGGTTAGTGCCCAAGCAGCTATATGTATTAGTTTTAGTATTGTTAATTCTTGGGACAATTTTAAGTCTCCATTGACTCATTTGGTTTGCAGAAGTATTTGCTCAAAATTGGAACAGTGCCTGGGCGTAAATTTAAAGTTTATTAAAATTTATTTTTAAGCTATTTATTGGCACTGTAAAACTTGGAAAGACCAATCCAGAACAATAGTAGTAAAAGTGCTGGGTAAATGATGGAATTTCTGAAATGGATTCTAGGATAAATTTCTGATATGACTTGTGCTTGTATTTTAAATTATCTCAATATAGTATCCAGTAACAATTGATTTTAGATTAAAATCACAAGTTGACAGTTCCTGATTCATTTTACATGGCTAAAATAGTTAAAAATATGTCATGAATTTATTATAATGAAGTGGAAGTCTGAATTGGAAGCCTTTCTCTCTTTCTTCCTCTTTCTTTTCTCTTTCCCTCCCTTCCTTCCTTCCTTCCTTCCTTTCTTCCTTCCTTCCTTCTTTCCTTCCTTCCTTCCTTCCTTTCTTCCTTCCTTCCTTCTTTCCTTCCTTCCTTCCTTCCTTCCTTCCTTCCTT